AAATTATATGGGAAGAAGAAAAAGAGGACAGATGGAAGGAATCCAGCTGTCTTCTTCTGCAGAGAAGAAATCTCTTTGCAGCATTGAGGCTGCTTTCAGGGTTCATGATTCAGCTTTCATGTTGGTTGGTGATAGTTAGGATGTTTTCATTTTGACTTCATCTGTTGACAAGGCAGTAAGAGCCCTGTGAGGACGYGTATCTATCTCCCCATCACATATGACTAATTGTATGGGGACAGCCGCGAGCACAATAACACTTCTGTTTTCCTCCAGAGCAGCTCCATTACAGACTGCCTGGTAGCTGAGCCCCAGCGAGTGTTTTTGCCATTTTGCTGATTGTGCAGCCCAGATAACYTGTGAGAGAGCAAACATGGAAAGTGTTGAATATTCAGCTCAAAAACCAGAAAGCAGACTTGTTTCACTGCTTGTCTGAACCGAGCTTTTAACCGTGCGTTGTCTGTGCTTTTCAGGAAACTCATCTTGTCTGGCACACGTCATCTGGCAGCAAAGCGCTCCCATTTAGGGACWGCCACCAGGAGTTCTGCAAAGGCCAGGGCTCATGGCTAGGCACTGTTGTCTTTGCAGCTTAGTTTTGTGTTTTACTTTCTTCATCTCCTTGGAGAGCAAAACTCTATTGGTGCAAAACGGATGCATTTTTAAACAAGATTTCTCTTAGTCTTACATTCGAAAAACTGTCTCCAAAAAAGCTAGAGCATAGCAGAAGCTGGTAAGACTTTCTCTAGATGTTTGCTGCTGTTGATCCTGTTTCTGCAAAAGCCCAGGAGTTTAAAGTCAGCAATGTAAGGGCTGACTTTAAACCTCTTGGCCTTAAACTGGTCACCCCCTGCTCCTCAGGGTAACAGCTGTATTTATGCATGAAAGCCACACTTGCATTCCTGAAGAAGTGTGTTAGCTTAGATGAACCTTTGACCTCARTATATCAGCTCAGTGGTCAACGGCCATATGCAGAAAGAACTCTGGTGTGCAACTCTTCCACTTGGTGAGTTTAATCTCTGTATGGATTACAACAGAAAGCTCTCTACAAGAGGCTGTACAGGTTTGAAGCTGCCCTTGCCTTCAGTGAAATCACTGCTTGCTCCTCAAGGTTTGTGGTGTCTGGAAGCTCCATTCATAACGTGCAGGTGGGCAGTCTGTCCAACACAGGGAGACAGTGGAGATCTTTGCAACTCTTCCTTTGTCCCTTTTCCCTAGGAGGGAGGCCAGTTTTCCTCCCTGCAGCCAGGCACCCTTTCTGATTTAGGAGTGCAAGACTGCTTTCATCCTGATGCCATCAYGAGGCCATGGTTTCTCTGTGAGTGTTAGAGGAATTAGTAGGAGAAGGATGATGCACCAGGGATAGTCAGTCAGTGCAGACTTTCTGAGGGCAGTGGYTTCTCACAGCAAGCTCAGAAAAGATCCATTTCAGTCTGCTTCTTGTCTCCTTGCTGTGTTGGCTTTGTTGCTTRTTATGGGAGGACAGGAGTTACCTGAGGAGCTCTGGGCAGCTGAATAGAGGAGCTGAGTGTGGGATGTGATCTCGGCAGCTGCGGAMACCAAGGAGGAGACTGCTCCCCTGAAAGTGTGAGAGGTCTCTGGACACTGACAGAGTGTGCTTGGCATTGTGACTCTGATCTGCCCTGGGTGAGTGCTCTGCAGATRCCCCTTGCAGGGGCTAATCCACGTGTCTGCAGCTCTCAAAAGCAAGGATGTTGCCCAGTGTCCCATCAGCACTGAGCATGGTTCCCCTTGCTCCTGCAGGATGCCCTGCGGTGGGAAGAGCAGGCACGCTGGCTGCCAGGTCAGGTCTGAAAATGATGTCTGTGCAAAGTCCGGCCTTGTCTGGACTCCAAGGGGCTGCTCTGCACAAGGCCTTCACACAGTTTCCTTAACAGGCTCCTTTTCACTTTTTTCCAGGGACTTGCACTGTGCTTCATTTCAGAGTGATCCAGTGAATTAACATATTGTTGCYGCTGCCTGGGTAATTGCATGCCCGGGGTCTGCTGTGCTCCAGCACAGCCTTCCCGGCATCCCAGACAGAAAGCATCCTTCTCCTCTGGCAAACAAGGTYGCAAAGTATTGCCCTGAGGCCGAGCTCAAAGGATGGAGGAATGGGAGGGTRGAAAGAGGAGAGGGAGGCTGTTTCTGAAGGTATGTCTGGCTTCAAGAGCTTACCTATCAACAAGGAGGTGGAGATGGGGTTTTTTAATCTTTTTCTGTGCTAAGTAATTTTGACTGAAGCTGTGGTTTCTCCTGCTAATTTATGCAGACATTGATGCGGGTGCAGTTACAGAAATTTAGTTTAGTGCAAGCCCACTATGAGGACTCGGAACTGCTTGAAATGAGCTGTCCTGGGTTGCACAGGAGTTTCAGCAGAAGTTGAAACTGAATGGTCTGATACCCTCTTTTGTACTGAAAATAAAACTCTTTGAATAGGTAGGTGTAAAAATGCTTGCTGGTCTCACTTCCAAGTGCAAAAAAACCCCATATGTGGATAAACCCTTAGAGCCTTCAAGGCCCTATGAGACAAGACCACATCTCAAAACACATTGGTGAGCRTATTGTCAAGGCTAAACAGGTTTGTTAGCGCGAATGCAAGTGTGCATTTTTGAAAGATGGTATTTGGCCAGGACTGACTTCTGGTGGGGAGCTGGCATCCCTTAGGCAATGGTTTCCAGAAAGAAATGTGGCAATGCACCACATGAGGAGGGCATCTCTGCCTCCCAGCATGGCTTGCTTGGCAGCCAGAGGCACGGAGAGGAAAGGGAGCATCAAGACTCAGGGATGGTGGAGAGGAGGTTGGTGTGTGGCTCTGTCACTGACTTCCTTGGGGACCTGTGGTGCGAGGTTCATCCTCTCCTTTTCCACCTTCTCTTCTGCCCACCCAGCACGTGGCAGTCTCCTTGTCGTTTGTATGGGTCCTTCTGAGAAGCTGGAGCTGGTGGTGCTGTCTCTAAGGTCCCTTTTCATCTTCTCAGTTTGAGCATTTCTTGTCTCTTTGCAACATAAGCTATTTTGACTGAAAGCAAGACACTGCTCCAACACTCTTTATGACACAAGGGATGGAGAGGAGGGTATGGCCATGTTGATGGTGTAGCTGTGTCATCCTGCACCAGAGCTTTGCAGTTTGTGGAGCAGAGGGAAGGCTTCTTGAGGCATCTCCATGCTGTGGAATAGAGGCTRCAGCCTTGGGCAGTGTGGAGAGCCTTTTTGTGGTTGGCCTGTGCGTGGGGCGTAGGGAACCCTGCTTGTTCCATGACTATGTGTGTATTTATGCACATTGGCTGGGGACAAAGATGGTCTTGTGTGTGCTGCAGATGGGATGTGGACAAAGGTTCCTGGGCCATTGATGCCCAGACTGAGAGGAACAGTCGCATGTGGGTCACTGTGGGACTGCATACAGGAGTGGAGTTTGTTGTGTCCTGAGGGGAACATAAGGGACAGTGCCCAGGGGTGCCTTCAGGGCCTTCATGTTCTTGGGATGTCATTTTCTCTCCAGCTCTTTACTTGGAGGTGATTCCCACCCTTTTTTCTGAAGCCTTTGCACTGGTAGCAGTTAGGAGATGACCTGTAGGATAATAGAGGCTGAAGGGATCTTGGGTGGGTCAGCTGTGAGATCAGAACAGGTTGTTCATGACTTCTCTCAGTCAAATCCTGCATTAGGTGAACCCAGCTCTCTGTTCCCAGCCCCCTCCTGCAAGCATTGGGGCTGCTCTGGATCCCYCAAAGCCATCTCTTGCCATGGCTGAACAAGCCCAGCTCCCACAGCCTCTTCCCTTCAGGCAAATCCCCCATAGCCATCCTGGTGCTCCTCCACTGCACTTGCTCTAGTTTGTCMGTGTGTTTCTTGTACCAAAAAGTAGATGTGGTACCGAGGTGGGGTCTGTTGAGTGCTGAGATCTCCCAGTTGTGCTCCTGTAGCCCAGTACACTGTTGGTCTTGGCTGCAGTTTCTTTCCTGAGCCCCAGATGTCCCATGGTCCCTCCAACCCTTGAGGTGTGACAGAGATCCAGGACATGGGGCTGTGCCTACACAATCACTTACATAGGACCCCGTAACTGTGCTTGGAAAGCCCGAGTGTTTCTCAGCCGTCAGGAGGGGAGAGGAGCATGGAGGAGCACTGGGATGGCAGAGACCTCCCTGCTAAGGATGTGGGCTCCCACAGGGAGGGAGACAGAGCCCAGAGGGATGAGGCGGTGACCTGAGTACTGCAGGAAGAAGCAAAGAGGTATAGTGTTATAACTACCACTGTCTCATTTACTCATCYGGAAAGCGAGATTTTACTCGGTGCTGTGCTTCCCATGGGGCTGTTGATGGCCACAGACAGCTGAGGTTCTGCAGTACCAGTTCACAGGGCTGGGGAACGTAGCTCATTGTGCTCTCTGATGGGCTTGAACCACAACCCCTGGCTCCCACGTTCAGAGGAATAGTATGTATTCATGTRTGTATACCATACTGAATAAAATTCTGCCATTCCAGGCTGTGCTGCCGAGTTGGTGTGTGAGTTTCAAAGCAGCAACCTAAATTTTTTAAGATCCAAGAGCCTTGGGAAAAGATCCATTTTTTATGCTGTACTAATTTAATAAATGCATCTTTTTTTTTTAGTGTAGGAAGGTAGCAATAAAAGACAAAAAGGAGAAAGAAAAGGCAGAAAGACCGTACAATCATTCTAAAGGTTTTCTGCTTTTCCGTTCATGTTCTTTTTAGGAAATGAAACTGGCTATATATGATATAGGAATGAAAMCACATATCACAAGCCACTGTCAAGTTCATGAAGTGACCACACTTGAAAAAGTAGTAAAAAATGTGTTCTTGCTGGTGCCTTCCTAGCCCATAGGAATCCTGGCTGCGGCGTGTGATTGTAGTAGGGTGAAGATTTGCATTTCCAAGTTGGCGGTTTTCCTTTTTACTATTCCACTTCCTACGAGCTGATTTGGTTCTGTGTTAATTGTGAATCTGGAATGCAAATCAACTCACCTGCTTGTTTTTTCTTTCATTTTCAGATTTTCTAACTATGGAAGCTCTCCTGAGGAGCTGCATTACGCGCAGCTGCCCCTGGCATGGGATGCAGAGCAAGGAGTGAAGGACAGCTGCAATGTGCCCCTGCAGGTTGCTTTTTTGAGGAGAGGGGCTTTCTGGCATGTCATATAGTGCTGAAATACATTTTGCTTTTRGTGGCAAAAATCCTTATCCTCCTTGTTTTTTTGTTTTTTTTTTCCAGGACAGATGATATTTCCTGTTTGAGATGCTTTGTATGCAAATCAAGGTGGTACAAGATGAAAAAACGTCCTGAAAGCAATCACACCRATAAACTCAGACCACTGGGGAATTCCTGCTTATCATTTATCCTTTCTTTTTTTAGTTTTGTACAACGCACTTCTCTGCATTCTCTTTCTTACAGTCTTTAATGTTTGTCCTGCCAGACCTCTTGCTTATGAACTACAGTGCTTGCATTTCGCAGGGCTTGATGTCAGTCTGCACAAACAAAAAGCAGTAAATGCTGAAAATTGGGGTTAACAGTCCCTGTGTTTCAGCTTGATCTTGCATTGATCTGGTGCTTTCTGAAGTTCAAGCTGACATGGGCCTCACACTACAGATTGCCATGTGCCTGTAGTGATGATGTACCTGGAAAGATGATCCCAGAAACCTCAGGAAAAAAGAAAAGGAGCGATAAAAAGCAAAAAGACGCAGCAAAAGGTTTCTCTAGTAACTTAAACAGGAGCAGGATTTGACCTGAGGCACCCCAAGAGATGGTGTGGGCAGCCCTTGTACTAACCYGGTAACATGAGTTGATCACCTCATTGCTCCAGCAAAGCAAACTCACATGGAATCACAGACTGGTTTAGGTGAAAAGACACCTTAAAGATCATCATGCTGAACCCCCTTGCCATGGGCAGGGACACCTTGTATTAGACCAGGTTGCTCAGGGCCCCTTCCAGCCYGGCCTTGRACACTTCCAGGGATGGGGCATCCACAACTTCCCTGARYATCTGCTCAGCTCMTGCCCTATAGATGTCCCTATAAGTGGATGGGGCTGATCAAAGCCTTGCTCTCACCAGGCTACTGCCCTGCTGCCAGCTGCAACATTGCACTGATGTTTTTTACAGCAAGTTGTGAGGGTGAGAAAAAGACTCAGGAGCAGAAAAGGAGACATGTCAGAGAGTGCAGAACTACACTGCCAAAGAGCATTCCCATGCGTGTCCAGAGATACCCAGTGCTGCCCATCTTGTCAAATCATGCTGTGGTTGCTCTGGCCTTTGTGTGGGGAGCAGTGATAATCATTGTGTGTCRTGTTGGGTTTTATTATTTGCTTTTTTTCCTCAAATGTTAAATTAACAATCAAACTGGCGTTGGTGAGGCAGCAAGCCTGGTGCAGCTTTTATCTGTCCTGAACCTTGGGACAAAGGAGGGGAGGAAAATGGCTTGGCTGGYTGGGCGGCCGTGCACGTAACGGTCCCGGAGTTCAAAGCAAAGGGCACAACAGTCAGATACCCAAACCCGCCTGGGCTTGGGCTGATAAGTCACATTTCAAAGTAAAAGGCAATCCTGAAGGGGCTCTGCTGAGTGCCTAAAGCCTCCGGTGCTGAGTCTTCTTCAAAAGGGGATTTCATAAGGAGTAATATGAACAGAAATGGCTCTTTTGTGGTTTTACACATTCCAGGCATGCCAGGACTGTTCCTGTCAAGGATGGGCAGTCTCTGGGGTTTTGGGTTCTTTCCCTTTTTTTTTTTTTTCCCCAAATATTTGCCACAAACTAGCAGCTGAAATGGTGAAAAATAAATGAGAGTTGCAAAATCATTACAGTAGCAGTAATGGAAACTGTGAGGCTTAAACTGGCTGTGAGCTTTCACTCCATCTTCTGCGCTGCTGCACTGTGAGGATTGCTGCTTTTACCTGCTATTTGATAGCAGGATGATTTGGAAGCAGAGCTTTAACTGTTGGTTACCCAGGATCTCAAAAACAGTGCTTTTGGTTTTTTCAGAAGCAATRCCTTTTCAGCTGAACCACTGTTAAGTACAAATTCCTTCAGTGTCAGTGCAGTGATGTGACTGTGCAGCATCTTCACATGATTATTTCTGCAGTCCTGTGTGTACAGAAATGGGGCCCAGCTGTTCCTGCTTCAGATGCTCTTTTTTTTTTCACCCAGATTGTGCCAGTTTGGTTTGCACCCGTACACTTCAACACAGGATTTTATTGATGTAAGAGTTCCAATGCACAAAACYGTGGTGCCTGAAATCTTAAAGAAGAGCACCTTAGCTCTGCCTTAAAACAGTCTGAAGTTTCACATGCAGTAAAACACTGRATGCTTTGTGTAGACCTGCCCTGTTAGACGAGTGTCTAATTCATAAGCCACGGTCCTGTTCTTCTCCACGTGGGTCCTGCTGTTGCCATAGTCTTGTTATCATGTCTGGTGTAGGTATCAGGAGCTCGTGGATGGCTGGGAAGGCTGTGCCCAGAGGTGTTAGTACTGTCCCCTCACAGAAAGTGTGGCTGTGACAAGGTGCAGCAAAGTGTGGGGCTCAGGGCCGTGCCACACCCGACACAARCACTCGGTACCTTTATGGGCATCACACACTGCCCACAGCCAGCTCAGCCCCTTCACCCTTACCTGCTCTGCAGGTGAGACTGATCCCTCTGGGGGGAGCAGAAGATGGAGCCAGGCTCATCCCAGCAGCMTCTGAACCATGGGACCATAGATACCCATGCTGACAATTTGTTTTCAGCCTGAGGGTGAGGAAGCATCTCTTTGAAAGTGACAATAAAAAAGACACTGCTGGAATGAACCTTCTGGCCTGGTTTTATTAAACGTGAATATGGGGARCTCAGTGGTGAGCAGGAGCTGGGGTGGATTTGGGGGATGGTGCCTGAAACCTCTTCCCATCCTCCAAGACAGGCTGATGTTACAGGGAACTCTCAGGGCTGTTGCTCTTGTGGGTCTGTGGGTGGAGGAATTTAATCACCAGGGTTGTCATCAAATGCTGCACTTACAAGATACAAGGAAAAAATGCTTGTGTTAATTCAGTGCTCAACATAAATATTTTTCATCTTAGAGRAGTCTGGTCTTGTAGCCTTCTGGACTGCTGCCATTTGGGGTTTGTTTCCTTAAAAAAGGAAAAAAACATTTTTTTTTCTTTCCCCAGCAGTGCTACAACCCACAGAAGTGTGGAAACAAAAAGAAGGGGTGTTCAACAGTGAGCTGTCYTTTTACTAGGCTGATCTTTCAGGGGTTGGCTTTGGAGTGGATTTTATTCTGTCCATTCAAGGTCTCTGCTGTGGAAATACTTAYTGCTACAAAACTGTAGCAAGCTTTATAAGTGGTAGGAAAAACTACTTTTGTAACCAAACAAACGGGCTTTACTTACAAGTCACACAGGTGTATGTCTGGATTTTTTTTTGTTTTGCTTTGTACCAGAATAACTTTTCTGCTGTGTTATCTGGAGTAGGAAAATGGGYGGACTTTTAAAGTTCTTTTCACAGTAGATTTCATCCATTTAATCTCAACAGGAGGGTACATAGAGGTGTTCTGTTACTCTTCATTTTCTGTGTACTTGCTTAGTGTTCTGTGCTTCAGAATCTCTGTTTCCCCTCTTTTTAATGGTTTGAGAGTTTTGATAGGGCAAAAATGCTTWAAAAATTTAATGTTTGTGGAAAGGCTACAGAAAATCATGCAGTGGTGAAGAGAGGCAGACAACCTGTAGAAGAGCCAGTTTTTGACAGCATGGGAAGTGGTTAGCGCCTCATTGGACATCCTCACATCAAAGCTGGACAGTGGGCTGGTTGAGATACTCTGTTTGAACCACAAATTGCTGGGCTTCGGGCAGAAATCACTGCATGAAATTCTGTGGTCTTCATTAGGCAGGCAGACAGACAAAATAATTTTGCTGGTTTCTCTTGGCTTTTAGAATTTATGAATCACATAGTCAGGGAGTCAGGGTGTTCTGGGGTTTTTTGGGTTTTTTTTTTGAGTTTCTGTGAAAAGTTTGCCTTGGTAGCATGCAGGCAACAAAACCCATCTGTTCTCTTGTCCTTTCATCACRCTGTGTTGCTTTCCAATTGTTCCAGAAGGAGGATGAAATTGGGCTTGTTATTTAAATTTCAGTATGGGTGGCCAAAGTAACTCTACCTTGATTATGGTGGACCTCCTGTGACCACAGGAATGCATGGAGCCTGATGCTAGCCCTGAGTTACCAAACATCTGAGGACCGACTCACCACTGCAGCAGATGGGAATTGTGTGCCAGGGGATCCTGCAGCAAGGCAGTGTCTGGCAATATCCCTTCACTCTGCAGTAGTAAGGATGCAATCAGTCCTTGTAGGRTGGTGTCTGATTCAATAGCACAGTGTGAAAAAAACCCACACTCATTTATGGCAGTTGAATGTGTGCAGTTGGGAGCAAAGAGCTCAGGYTGTGTCTGAAGTGTGTGTGAGCCCATCTGGGGTGCACCGTGCCAGGGAGAGTTCATGGCATGCTCTTGTGCAGTCATGAAAAGAGAGTTCCTGATGGAGTTGTGGGACAGAAGGGAACCCTGCAGCTCTGGAGAGCAGGTAGAAACAGGGATGTGACTTTGTCCCTTTAAAGGGGGAAACACTGTTTGGTGTCTGTACTTGAGGTAGGGAGCAAAAGTGCCAGAAAGAATTCCTGGAAAGCCACAGATGACTTGAGTTTGCCACACCAGAGCTCCAGGCTGGAGGAGCCCAGTATCATTGGTTAATTGGGATGAAGACTGACAAGGGGATGACTTGATTGCCACATCTAGAGGAAGAAAGTTTTGATCAGCAGGTTTGGGGTGAGGAATTTCTTACAATTTCTGTGTCTTTTTTCAGATTTTAAAGGACAATGTCTCTCCAGGATTGCTGGTTTAGTCTATAATGTTGGGATTGTTAGGTAGAGGTGTTGGCTGCAAGGGACTGATGTGCAGTGTTTCTGAAGGCAGGGTGGATTATTTGGGTCTTTCTGCCCTTATGCTCAGAGCTGTGGTACTCCCCAGCACTTCTTCCCTCGTTGGAGTAGGGCAGTTCTATCACAGCACTGGCCATAGTGTAAACCATCAGGACAAAACGCTTTGGAGCCATCTCATCTTAAGACAGCCATCTAAGACATCTGGGTTTATGTCTGATAATGACTGTTGTCCCCAGCAACTGTGGGAGCCCAGAAATACGGCTTAGATGTGGAATCCTGTGCTGAGATGTCTGAACTGCATGAGTTGAACCCCCCCTCGCCACCTGCATGAGTGAGGAGGAGTTACTGGAACAAAGCTCCTAATGAAGAGCTGTCTGACACCATCTGAGATGGAAATATGGAAACTTTAATCAGCTCTCYGCAGCAGAGGAGTCCCTGGAGGTGCTGTTCCAAACCTGACCCACTTGCTGAACCCCAGCAGTGCAGCACTGGGCACTCCTGTGCCTGCTTTCAGAAGAATGAAAGGACAGAAATCTAAAAAGAGACAAGCACAGGGGACAGCAATCAGTGGTAAGTATTYAATAAGAAAGAGTTGGGGTATTTTGTTCAGTAGTAAAAGCAAACCCACTTTGTGCAGCTTTTTGTGAGGTGCTCAGAAAAGAGGGAGGTATTGGCAGAAAGCAGGGAGGTTCTCACAGACGTTTGTTTTCAGGCTGATCAAATGTTTTCCCAGTTCTTTCTCTAAATCCCAGTCTTTCCAGCCATGCCATGTTGGGAAGCAGCTGTGAGCTCATATTGGGGCTGAGTTCCAGCACGGTGACCRTCCTGGGGCTGCTCCATCCCAGGCTGTAGGCTGCTTTGCAGTGATGGAGGGAGGGCTTTTGTCGCTGGCAGGGAGCAGCATGGCTCTGTGGCCAAATGTCCCTGTTTGCTGGCAGGAGGGCCTGCCATGAAGGCTCACCATGAGCCCATCCTCCCATCCCTAACCCCCTCAGAGCTGTGACCACTTTGCCATGGCTTCAGGTTAGGGCATYTGAGTGGATAAAGCAACAGTGGGTAAAAATCAAATCCTAAACCTCTGGGCTTTGAGAGGATGATAGCATTGGACTRTTTGCAGCAAACTATAATCTGCTTCCCCTTTCCAGGAAGATGTTGCTGAGAAGATGATTCCCCTGTGCTCCTCTGAAGGGCTGCTGACTCCCAGACAAGCACCAAGCTTTTCCCCTTCCCCGTGTGCCCATCCTGCTGGCTGCAGCCCTTGCTGGCCCTGGGAGGATGCCAGGCTCTGGCACTCCCCCCCTGCTGAGGGCCAGGAAACGTGATGCTCCAGCCCTTTGGATGGTTTTCCAGCACACTGAGGGCAAACTGCCTCCTCCATGGACACAACACACGTTGATTTGCTGCTGGTTTTTCTTATTTGTTCTTTTAGCTGGCTGAATAGCTGAAGTACAAACATCTTYCACCTATTTGACATGAATTCACTAATCGATAGCAGGTTTCATGTTCATTTTTTTAACTCAGGATGGTGATGCAATTACAAACCTCACATCCATGATGTATCTTAGAACCATCTGAAAAGTGTGAGCTTTTACACAAAAAGGACTATGGTGGGGTTTGTGAAATAAAACTCTTGTTAATCCCTAAATTTCATTCTATATTTTGAATGAATCAGGTGTATTTCATGGGACTGAAAAAGCTTTTATTTTTCCCCTTTTCTTCCTTCAGTGTTGGTATTATTTCATTTAGCTTTTTTTTTTTTTTTTTTTTTTTTTTTTTTTTTTTTTTTTGTAATCAAAACATTTACTCACTGCACGAGTTAAATGGTTTCTCATAAACGAGTTGATGTCAAAAGAAAAGTGAGGATAAAGAGAGGCCAAACATTGGGTTTTAGTTATCTCTATTTTTTCCTTTTTATTCAAGCTTCAGCAAAATGGCAATTGCTTCATTTTGACGCACTTTCAAATCACATTAGCAAGTGAGTACAGAATGGGAAGGGTAATCATGTGAACTTCAAAAATGCAGCAGGTCAGGACAGGAGAGACCAGAAGCAATCCTGCACTGACCATCTGCCCAGATTTGGGTGTTYTGGTGTATCCTACCGTATTTTTTGTGTYACCATGAACAAATTTCCAGTGATTKGAAGGGGATAAGGAAAAAGGAGCCCCCCGTGTTCCTCTCCCCATTTTCCTTGGCCCCCATTTTGGGTGACAGCAGCGTGCAACTCACAGTCACTGCAGCTGCATTGAGCACTCTGTTCTTGTGCAGAGCCCCTCAGTGCAGG